AGAGAGAGAGAGAGAGAGAGAGAGAGAGAACCCCACCCAGCGATATGGGTTAATTAGCTTGTGGTAATTAGATTAATTGATTAATATAAACTGATACAAACTAATGGAAATTGCTTTAAGGCAACTTTTAAACTTAATGCAAGGAGCTCTGCATCAAAATCTACTTCATTATTGTCCTTTATATGTGTATTATGACATGATGCATAATATAAACACATTTGTATTTAATCAACTAATAACCAAATACGTGTAGAGCTCAGCTTGCACCCTGCGGCCTGCAGATGATGCTATAAAAAGTTTGTAGAATATAATAAAATTCAAAAAAACTCCAGAATTTGTTTGTTTGGGTTCACAACATGGCTCAGTCCCTGCTTATGTTCCCCGGCTCTTCTTTTTAATCCTCTTTCTTTTAGTCTTTCCTTCTGCCCTCCTTTTTTCCTCTTCCCTGCCCCCTCCCTGTTTTCCTTTTCCCATCATATTATATTTTTCTTTATGCATCTCCCTCCAGCTACCTCTTCTCTCCCTTCTATTTCTTTTCTTGTTCCCTTCCTCCATGATGTACTTGGTTTTTGCCATGTTCATTTAGTCAGTCTAGCCCCTTCACCTCATTACTTTCCTTTCTAATACTGCAGTTAATCCTCCACTATAATGTAATACAATAAAAATACATACATTAATGCACATTTTAACTCAATAATAAAATGAACTACTGTCTGTTCACAGTGAGACGCTGTAGTGTTTGGAGGAAGTGAGGCCGGTGTGTCTGCGGGATATGGGCGGTGCACTGCTTCAGTCTGGCGGCTCCTCTTCACTCAGTCAGTCGGTCGCTGTGGAGGAGAGCGGACGAAGAGGAGCGGCGCACCGGGACCCTGGATCTGTATTTTATATATATATAAGTATATATTTATAAATATATATACATACACACCCACAGCAGAGAGACCACCACGACAGACCGACAGGCAGGAGAGGAGCAGCATGGAGCTGTGAGGGCGGACAGGGACCTGCTCCCCAAAATAACCTCTGGTGATCTGTTTATTTGACGCATCTGCGAGCTTTGCCCCAACATGGAGACTGCAGGCTGCTGGCTGCTCCTGGCTGCACATCTCATCCTCATCTACCAACCAGGTAGGACTTGCTGTCATCCTCCTTTCCCCCCCAACATGACACAGAAACCCTCACATTCTCTCTGATGATCAGTTTTATGGAAGACTGCGCTCTTTTCCACTTGCTGCGCAAACTTTCCGGTGATTTCGCAGCAGCCTCGGGTGAGATGGGAAATGAAACAAGCAGTCCTAAACAAACCGAAAAAAAGTTGTTTATCTGTATTTTCATCAAACTCATAAATCTTTCCAACTTTCATTTATCGCCAGAGTCATATCTGTGGTGCGTAACGCGCTGTGCGCCTCATCCAAGGAAATGAATCCAGAACGCAAATATGTGTACTATTTTTTAAAAACACAAATGTCCTCATGTGTGGTTGACAGAGTGTCTGTGGTGTTTGCTGTTGATGATCCCACTGTGTCTGTGGGAGCGCAGATTAAAACGTTCAGAGTCGCAGGGCATCACATATATCAGCTCCAAATCGGAGCTGTCAAGCATGAAGAGAGAAGTTTGGACACGGTAGTCTGACTGGCTTATTAAGGGTGTCACAGGCTCCAGATCTGGCAACAACAACAACAGCAGTGATCCCGTAATGTATCCCAGAAACAGATACTATCACTGAAACAAATAACAACCTACAGGACTTATTTCCAATCCTGGAACATTTCAGAGAAATAAAACACATCGAGCTCTTTCATGTGAATTGTGTGACTGTAAACCCAAGCACTGAGGTCTCTGACCTGAGGAAAGACTCGTGGCAATGTTGATAGGTGGAAATGGACAGGTTCAGGAGGTCAGTCTGTCTTCAAACCCATGGTTGCTCTCAGGGTCAAGTGGGGTGTGTTTTGACTGTGAATCTGCCTCCTGGGAGAAATGTGGGGATGCAGGTTTAAAGAAAAAAGAACTCAACACAGGCTCTCTGCCCAGCCAGGAGCATTCAGATTGCAGGGCTTCCAGCAGATGAGATAACAGGTTCCTGTGTGCTTTGAACCAGGAGCTTGTATACCTTCCTGTTTTGATAAGGGCCCTGATCTTTTGCTCATTTTCAGCTTGACGGTCTGAGATGAAGTGTTGATATGTGTCAGAAGAGGGTGAAGATAAAATCAACCTACAGCTCATTAAGGCACTAAACAGTTAACCAATTTCTGATAATCAATTAATTCTATTAAATCGGAAATCTAATATAGTGGCTCCAACTTAATTTGCTGCTTTTTATTTCAGCGACAGTGCTCGGTGCCATTGTAGCTTCTCACAGACCTGAATAACTTGTTGAAAACAGTTTCACTAAAAGGTCCAATTAGTTGCTCCTCTGGAGCTTTCAGTCAGATCACATGGTCTTCCTCTTTAGATGGAGTTTGGCCTGTGGATGATGCACAGGCATGATTTGTCACAGAATGATCGTCATTCTTCTCCGTGTTTGTCCAGAGCAGAGCATTATCTTTTCTCTACACAAGACACTTGACAACATTGTATCATAGGAGGAGATCCAATACCTACATCAGTATCAGTCTGATAAAAAAAAAAAAAACTACTGTAATGGACACTGGAAAAAGTCAAATAAACCCTGTAAGCCCTAAATATCATGTAAAGGCTTAAGAACAGGTGTTCTTAGTGATGCTGTAAAGAGAGACGTGTGTGACCGCTGTCATTTGACCAGAACGGGAGTGAAGGCTGCACACTTCTCCCACGCTGCTGCACCATGTCAACTCTGCGGACGTATTTTGAGCTAAAGAAAAAAAAAGCTAAACAGCCAAGTATGATTTATTTAATTCAAGTATCTCAAGAGGTGGCAAAACTCCAACATGGCAAATTTGATGAAACATCATAGAAAGAGTTCAGCATACTGGAGATATTTATGTCAAGTAATTTAAGTTATAGTCTGTATTGTCACTTTTTGTCAGCTATTGGCTGCAGAGTTAAACTGTACCTTGTATTTTACACTGGGATTCTACTTTCTGTTATTCTTAAACATTTGCACCAAGTTGCACTTTATATTTAATCTTGAGTGGTGCTTTATAAATCAGATTGTGAGCTATTTTTTTCTTCCTTTATTGGAATATTTGCTACACAGTTAGGGCATTATGTTTTTGAAATTGCTGGTTACGGCCATGCGATAAATGCATCAGCACAAATGTGTTAATATTAATTGCTAAGTTGAGACTTCCGTAGATACTCAAGGTTGTGATATGGGTATCAGACACGAAAAAGTGTGATCAAGCCATCCATAATCACGGGGACATTATAACACTTCACTGAAGGAACATGAGCTGCACTGTGAGAAATGTCCGAACCTAGGAAGAGATTTTTATTAGGTACATTTATTTATCATAGAAAACATCTGCCTGTCTCGTACATAGATAAACATATTCGGCATCTTTGCAGACATGGTATCTCTGCTACAAATGGAGATGAATCTCCCTGGTATTGGTGAGTTTTTGATTAGTTAGTGTTTGTAACAACGGGCAGGAGCTCAGTCAGTGGAGATGAGGGTTGTACGGTACCGTCACAGCGTGCCAGAGAGGACACTGATCTGCTTGGCTGATCGTTTCGAGATGTGAAACAAAGATTAAGGGGAGAAGCTGGTCAGGGCCAGTTTTTGTCAGAGAGTTGTGAAACCTTTTTTGTGGCATCGCCAGCGAGCCTGGATCTCTGCGGAACGGTTTGTACCTGCAGAAAGCTTCCAGGCACCATCTAACGCTCCTCTAGATTTTCTTTTTTTCTTTATCCAGGCTGTTTTTTAATGGAGTATTATGGCTGTAACATGGAGCTTTTGACAAAATGTCACAGCACAAAGGAGGTGCCAGCTCGCTCGGAAGGCAGCACAGGAAATGTTTGAGGTGGAAGAAAAAACCACGTGGAGAAAATTCAGCGCCATCTGTCTTCCAAAAGATATTTGTGAATGGGCAGTGCCAGTGCCTTGCACTCCGTCTGGACTCATGGAGTCTCCGGGTCTCTTGTTGTCTAACAGGGAGTCTGCAGACAGATGGCCCTCTCAGTCAGGCAGGCTGTCAGTCAAACACACTGAGATGCCGAAGTCATTCTTTGGCATCTTAAAATATAAATGGACTCGTTTATTGTTTTTATTAAATCTGGCTGAAAACTAAGCTCACATTCATTAAGACTAAAAAACAGCAGGCAGCACCAAAAACAACCTTCAATATGAGCTCCTATATTAAACAAAAAAAATATTTTTTTTAATATAAAACTGATTTACCTTTACAGAAGTTAGCATGCTAACCAGCTAGCCCCTGCCATATTCATCACTTGCCGTTTTCAGACATGAACTCTAGAGAATGTCCACACAATTGGGTCTGGACTTTCCCCAGAGTTTTTCTAGCTTTTCAAGTATGAAGAACGCAGCAGGAGATTCACTACGGTACTGAAATCTCTGCAATGTTCAGCATGCAGAGGCTGGGATGGAGATCACATGTGTTTGTTCACATCGACACTGGTGTCGGCCCCCAGCACCAAAAACTCTGTAGATGTCTTCTGCTTCTGTGACTCCTCTATTTCATCCTGAGATGTTTTTCCTAGAAACCTCAGAGAGAGTCACACAGATAGAAGTGCAATAGATGCTGCGTGTAGCTGAACACGTCAACAAAATAACAACATTTACAAATGTGTCATAGAGATTAAGGGAGCATGATGATTTAAGTGGAGGAGTTATTGGTATATAGCTTCATTTTAGTTAAATATATTGTTAATACCTGATATTGTATGGAAGCAAATAATTGCCTTAATAATTCAAATGATAGCGATTGATTTACTACTGAATATTTAGTATGGAATACTGAATACTGAATAATGGACTTGAGATGTAAATATTTGTATTTAATATATGTTACAATTTCAGTAATATATATATATATATATATATTTTTTTTTAATGAACAAAGGAAACCAAAGTTGTTTTATGTTGTCTTAACACAAGAGGATTTGAAAAAAGTACAGAATAAAATGGTCTAAACTGACAATGTATCAAATAGATCGTCCTTGTCTACAGATATTCAATGTCGAATTTCAGAGCTTGTCAGTGTTTATTACTCATGTTACTTAAATACAGTATATAACCTCATTTGGATTCTGATTGTTGTTTGGGGAAAGACAGAACCAAGTCTTTGGTCACCTCAGACGCCCTCCTTTTTCTAGTCCTTCACATTCATGTCTTTATTTCCTCCTGTTTCCCACCATCCTCTCTGTCTCTTTTCTTTCCATGGTGTTATCCCTCTATCTCTGTCCAAATCAGCCTCAGCTGGGCAGACGTCCCTTGCTGCCCCACTGCTAGTCTGGGACAGAGAAAAGCAGATTTCCAGTCATGGCAGCAGGGGTATTTGATGACCAGATTAGTGGGTATTAGGCTCAACGGCATTCACTCAGGCATACACAGGGGCCACCGGTTTGAATCCACCAGAGTCGCCCCTCTTTTTCCTTCCCCTGGCCCTCTGCTGAATGCAAGCCGGGGTTACGTGGGGAAACAACCAGCTGGGTCCTCGGCGGAGGTCAGCTGAGGAGGCCCGTTCGTCCTGCGCCGGGGCCCGGCCCGGAGAATTATTCTGTCAGAGGGGAGATTTGTTTTGTAACAGTAAGGAAGGGGGCAACTGCAGAAAGAAGGGAGGTGTAAGGGGATAGATTGAGGGGGGTGGAAGGGTGTGTGTGTATGGGGGTGTGGGGGGTGATGCAGAGCAACAGAGAAAAGAAAAAGGCGGGGTGTTGGGGGGGGTTGGCATTTAAGCGTGACGCATGATGGCACTGCGATTTGTCCCAGTGGCGGCGGCGGTGAGAAGGAGAGGACGCTGTCACACTGTGAAGCTGGAGCAGAAGTGTGGGAGCGCAGTGTGTAAAGAGGAGGAGGGACAGGGGGTACACACACACACACACACACATTCATCCTCCAACACCTCGAGGTTGGAGGCCTCACAGACTGATGGAGCGCAGGTTAAGCAGCACTCCTGCCTTCATTAGTCTTCCTTAACATCCCCAGCCTCATTACCCCCCACTCTCAAGCTCACTGTGTCTCCCATCGC